GCGGCAGAGGTTTCCCACTTGATTGGACCTCTGTTAGAGTCCGCATCAAACACGTTGCCGTACTGCTAGGGTCGTGTCCGTAGTAAGGGAAATATGTGTAAACATATATAGACGGATCCCAACCATGGACAAGAACGGCCGTGAGACCGGTCTTCATCATTCTCTCGTGGTGCAAGTCCTTCGAGTAGTTAGCCTGTCCTATATGGGGTATGGTGGTTTTCTTTTGATCCATGCCGTCAATAATGATGCACAGACACTCGGACTGGCGCAAAATGGAATCCATTTTGCAGCGGCTGTAATCGAGCCTGTGGTCGACTTGTAGATCCTGATGTTTCCGCATCCTATCTTTGAACTTCTTACGGTCTCTAGCGTACTTCAACTTAGCGATGCAGCGCTTGCAGAATATACATTTCGCGCACTTCGTGAATGTGTTTGACATAGCGAGACTAACGTGCCAGAAGTGCTTACTCCACATAGCGTAGAAAGTCGACTCGGACACGACTGTCGAGTGATACATCAGAAGATCAGAGCACAGTGATTCATAAATAGCCCGTTTTGTGAAGGCCGCAGGAATCCTACGGCGCGGACGACACACTCTGTTTTTCCTGACCATATCGTTTGGCATACCGTCGGCGTGGTCTTCGAGGAATCGTTTCAACAAAGCGAGCATTGTAACATCTTTTTGCAAGCCACTGGCCTTACCCGCTCAGCACCACCTTCCATAACCATGAAGTCGTGAATGGTTTGCAACCACCACTGTGTCCTTTCCGTGCAACTTTTGGAGTAGAACGCCTCCCGCACCGGCCTAACATCTTCCGCTGTGAGCTCAGCACAACACATCCGCCTACAACAGAGCATTCCTCGCACTGCCTGGAGAGACTGCATCTTGAGTTTGCCCATAGCTCGGCGATGTGGGGTTTTCTTGGCCGGCTCTCTGTTTGCCATAGAGTACGGTCGTCTTTCACCAGGCAGTGGCGCCGGCAAAATGTATCGTATGTGGCGGTTTTCTTCGGATTCACAGCGCGTCAGCGAACACAACCACAGTTCCTTAAACCGACGTGTCAGTCCTAAAGAACGTAACATTTGATCGGGATCTGCAAGATGGGCATGTGAACCGGGCTTGTCGTGGGGGCGTTTGGTCGGCGAGTGCGATCGGGGCGTGTGGCCAGGGCGGATGATTCGGGCGTTTGATCGGGGCGTGTGACCAGACCATTGTGATTAGGAGGTGTGACGGGGGGATTCATCGCAATCAAATCCGAACATGTTTCTTTCTCTCTTTTTCTATCTCTCTCTCTCTCTCTCTCTCTCTCTCTCTCTTTCTTTCTCTCTCTCTCTCTCTCTCTCTCTCTCTCTCTCTCTCTCTCTCTCTCCCCGTCTATCTCCTCAAATGTTTCATCATTTTACTATGTTTTTCGTTGCGTCGTTTGTCTGGCGGTCCCATCAACCAGCGCAGCTGCAAACCATCAAAGTGACGCGTAAGACCTAAAAGATCGGTACGTATGATCAGGATCCGCCAGCCAAGCGTGCGAAACGGGCGAGTCCTGGCGGTGTTTTGTCGGCGCGTGCGATCGGGGCGTGCGACCGTTGCTGACTATCGGGGCGTGAGATGTGACCATTGTCATCGTGAGTTGTGACGGGGGCGATTCATCGTAAATTAATCGGGACGTGTTTGGAAATCGAATATCACCATGTCTTCAGTCGAGTCTGCAAGCTTTCTGTTGATCGAGTGCGTGGCGAATAAGGAACTGATGAAAAACAACAGTGTATGCGAACGAAATGAATAAACGTTGATTTTGTTTGCCATTCATTTCTAAACAGGTTAAAAACATCAGCGATCTTCCAAAACGTGCTGAAAGAGTGGATCGCAACCCGACTGGTTGCTCCCCTCTTCCAACATGTACTTTTTCTTTGCCGATCCTCAAGTCGTATTCATTCATAGCCGTTGTTGTTTGCTTCTGTTTGAAGAGTGGTTCGTATAATCGTATTTTTCTTTTGTCTTTTAGTCTCACAGTACGTGATGATGATATTTTCCGCGTGCATGGTTCACTGCTCTTGGAATAGATGAAAGGCCCCTTCAGCCAAAAGCCCCGCTGACGTGAACGCAACTCTCTGCTGACGTGGCAAAGGGCGAGGACGACAAGTCATCCCCGTCGACAGCACGTCAGGCATCGGCTGAAAACAAGCTTGCTTACAAGAATGAAAACCTTCCCTGACGTGACAATGGTAGGAAAAGGCAACTCATGTGTCGTGACAGCATGTCAGTTTCCGCGCCGTCTTGTTTCTTTGATAGCAGAAAATGCTTTCGCGCCGGATAGGGTCTTGTCTTCGATTAACTGTCATTGACGCATATTGACTTATCGATGAGGATACCCGTCCATCCAAGCTGTTGTGGTTCGGATTCATCCGAACCAAATGGTTACTATGTTCTTCGTGGTTCGATTTCGCCACGACAAACCCGAAAGTACAAACCGAACATGGATGTCGGGGGTAGGTGCAACCCGAAAGGCGACGCCTATGGGTCTTGGAACATTGCGCGGTCAGTATACCCGTCCATCCAAGTTGTTGTGGTTCGGATTCATCTGAACCAAACAGTTGCTATATTCTTCGTGGTTCGATTTTGCCACGATACACCGTTGTAGCAATTCGGATGCATCCGAAGTCGAAGGGCAACAATGATCCAAAGCTGCCTATTCAATTTCGTATGCATCCAAATTGCAATGACGGTATGTCGTGACGAAATCGAACTACGGAGAACTTAGTCACTGTCTGGTTCGGATGAATCCGAACCACAACAGCTGATATGGTCGAGTATCCTGATCGCGCATGAGGGGTGCACTTCTGTCTGGCGGAGGCGAGTCCTAACCCCACCCCTGTCTCGGAAGAGCGCGGCTCGTTCGCCTCATCTCGCCTCCCGCAACCTCTCCGGCCAGCAAAAGCTTTGTCTACGCAACTTCGGTTATTGCTGCCAAAATTAGCAATGGAAAACAACCACACTATCAGGTTCGGATGAAATAGGAGCTCACCCAACGTATCACGACTTTTAAACTGAACGGAATCGCCAGTAGTGATGAGTTTGTGAAAAGGAATCACAGATAACATAGTCACTCTATGGTTCGGATAAATTCGAATCACGACTGTCGAGATGGACGGGTGACGCATACTAACTTATCGATGAGGATACCCGTCCATCCAAGCTGTTGTGGTTCAGATTCATCCGAAACAAATGGTTACTATGTTCTCCGTGGCTCGATTTCGCCACGACACACCCGAAAGTACAAACCGAACATGGATGTCGGGGGTAGGTGCAACCCGAAAGGCGACGCCTATGGGTCTTGGAACATTGAGCGGTCAGTATACCCGTCCATCCAAGCTGTTGTGGTTCGGATTCATCCGAACCAAACAGTTGCTATATTCTCCGTGGTTCGATTTTGCCACGACACACCGTTGTAGTAATTCGGATGCATCCGAAGTCGAAGGGCAACAATGATCCAAAGCTGCCTGTTCAATTTCGTATGCATCCAAATTGCAATGACGGTATGTCGTGACGAAATCGAACTACGGAGAACGTAGTCACTGTCTGGTTCGGATGAATCCGAACCACAATAGCTGATATGGTCGGGTATCCTAATCGCACATGAGGGGTGCACTTCTGTCTGGCGGGGGCGAGTCCTAACCCCACCCCTGTCTCGGAAGAGCGCGGCTCGTTCGCCTCATCTCGCCTCCCGCAACCTCTCCGGCCAGCAAAAGCTTTGTCTATGCAACTTTGGTTATTGCTGCCAGAATTAGCAATGGAAAACAACCACACTATGAGGTTCGGATGAAATAGGAGCTCACCCAACGTATCACGACTTTTAAACCGAACGAAATCGCCAGTAGTGATGAGTTTGTGAAAAGGAATCACATATAACATAGTCACTCTATGGTTCGGATAAATCTGAATCACGACTGTCGAGATGGATGGGTGTCCTGATCCCGCATGTGGGGTTGCCCTCTGTCTGGCGAGGAACACTCCGAACCATACCCCAGACTCGGAAGATCCCGGTAGATACCATTTCCCTCCGAAGTGGCCACCCGCATCCTTTCCCACCAGAAATACATTTGGCTATGCTGCTTCGGATGAATAAGAACCAGCGAACACTTCTGCTAGTTCTCGCAGCAAAATTGTACTGCGGAAAACATCCACTGCGAAAGGCTCGGATAAATCTGGATCTCCCCAACATATACACGATTTTCCGACCGAACAAAATACCGATGAGTGTAGAGTTTGTGACAAGGAACCACGGTGAACATAGTCACTCTGTTCTTCGGATAAATCCGAACCACAAATATTGGCATAGACGGGTTGCCCTCTGCCTGGCGAGGATGAGTCTGAACCATACCCCCTTCTCGGAAGAGGCCGGACGATAACATTCTGCTTCGAAGTGGCCACCCGCTTTCTTTACCACCAAAAATAGCTCTGTCTACGCTTTTTCGGATGAATCGGAACCAGAGCCTGCGAAAGACGTTTCGCATGTCTGGTTTTTGCTGCAAAAAACGAACTACGTAAAACATTAACGCTGTTGTTCCCATATATCTGAAGCTCCCGCAACATATACACGATTTTCATACCGAACGAAATCGCGACGACTGTTGGTTTTGTGAAAAGGAACCAGGGTGAACACAATCACTCTGTGGTTCGGATGAATCCGAACCACAACTGTTGAGATGAACTGGTATCCTGACAGCACATCCGGCGGTTGTCTTACGTCTGCCGGGGAAGAGTCTGAAGCATACCCCTGTCTCAGAAGAGTCTGGCAGATAACATTCTCCTGCGAAGTGCCAACTCGTTTTCCTTTCCCGGGTTTGGATGTATCCGGACTCCGCATTCATAAACCTTCTCTATCAGACTATCTCTATATTAGCTTCATACGTCGCTGGCAGTTCTCCACTGACATCGAGCCACCATTGGTCTTCATTACGACTGGTCCCGGCTGAAGGTGGTCGTTGCCGGTGCTCTGGTTATAGAGCATTCTTGTGTGTGTCTGTTCTGAGTAAGTGTCTGGATTGCTTTGCGTGTTTCAGATAATGGCTGCTCACGGCCAAGGCCGCTCTGCCGGTGGCTCCTCTCCATTGAGGGAGCAACACCGCAGAGGACATCCCGGAGGACAAGAACCTAGAGGGGCTCAACGCCTGTGGTGCGACTACACCAAGCGGATCTGGTATGTGGATTGGGTCTGTCAGCACGCCTCCGAACCTTTGAAACCTCCCTGCGGGCCAGTTCTGTTCCTCGACGGCGGCAATATGATTCGCCTCCTAGGGTCCGTCGTCAATTGGACTGAAGCTGGCTCTGACATTTTTCGATTTACCTTGCGGAAGCTTTACCGAAGCGATGGGTCCGTCGACCAGGCGGGAGTGGGATGCAATGTCTCGGGGACGATGTTCGGGGGTTACGGCCAGCGCGCGATGGCCTTGCCGTTCTTTGCTCCCTACGCGCCAGGCCACGACGAGACCGTTCACGTGAAGGACTTCTTCGAGGTCTGCTCGCGTACAATCAGACCTGAAGATGTCATCGATGTGGACCCCGGGACGTCGTTCAGTGGTCCTGTTGGGTTCCCGCGCTCTGACCCTGACGGAGGCGAGAGTGTACTGTCAATCACGCCTCCCGATCCCCCTCAAGGCATGTCAGATGACTCGGAGGACGAGCATGCGTGTGCGCCCGTGAAATCTGGGGTGCAGGGGTCTCGCCGACAGGGTTTGCTTGGAGAGTCGGCAGTCTCGACGTCGGTTGGAGGCAGTGTCCGTGAACGGTTGGAAAGGGCCTCCGGAGCAAGAGTGATGGTCGGTGAGTTGGTCCGTAGCCTGACGAGTGGAGATCGCGGTTCGGAAGGGATAGGTAGACAGCCGGTAGCGTTATCGACGGGTGATCAACCGGGTACCTCGCAGGTTCGGCAGGTGCGCGGGGCAGAGGAGACAACACGGGCGACACACCCCCTGCAATTGCATGTCGAGACAGAGCCGGGGCAATACCGACAGTCAGGTGCGAACGTCGTCGGTGAAGCGGGGGAACTCGAGTCTGGGCCTTTTAGCCAGAGCTCGCCTGAGCGGACTCAGTCTGGAGGCAAGCGGAACTTGCCGGCTGTCGAAGCGGGGGAGGGTGTAACAACTCAGAGCGGCGTGGATCCGTGGAGAAAAGGAAGAGGGTGGGAGGGGGGGAAGACACGCCGAAAGAGTCCTCCACAAGGCGAAAGACCGGTGAGTCTTCCGGGAAGAGGTTGCAGTCGGCAAAGGACAAGAGAGCAGATGAGGGCGACACCGGTGAAGGGGCTGAAGACGTGGAATTAAACCTCAACGCATTTAACATCGAGAAAGCCTTCTTCCTGGAGATGAAGACGGGGGTGCAGAAGGACGTCGTGTTGCACATCCATCCGGAAAGAGTTTTGCATATTCCAGAGTGGGAAGACGCGTACAACCACCGGTCCTTGGACGATTTTCTCGTCGACACCATCGCGGCTGCTATGGTCGACTGCTACAACCGTCAAGACATGAGATATACGAAGCCCACTTTCGTTCTGGCCCCCATCGTCGCGCCACCGGAACAGGGCAAGCCAGTTGTGCGTGTGCTGCCTCAAGACTTCGATGCGACCCACCCCGAGAAGTACTGGTATTATCATGTCTGTGGTCAGCATAACGCGAGGGCGGCGATGAAGGTGATAGACCATCCGGTTTTCAATTACTACACCTTCTACGAGTGGCCCTTCAGACCAATTTACTTCACTGACGAGGAATTCGACGGCTACGCCCATGTCAGCTGCGAAGACAACCTGAAAGACAAGAAGAATCCGCCGAGGTTGCAGAGTTTGTGCATGCGGGACATTCGTAATATATGGAAAATTAGGGGTCAACCACGTGTCGTGCTCGGCAATGTGTCGAAGAAACAGGAGGAGGTGCGTAGATGGACTCAGTTCATGGCCCTGGCAATGAAGAAGACGCCGTACACCACTTTGTGGGGCCTTTCAACAGATGCGAATAAGAAGAAGGACTGGGCTGAGAAACTTTGATACTACCTTCCGCTGGCCATGGCCGACGATTCGGTGTTCGATTTGGCGCAGAAGTTCTACGAGGAGTGGTCGAAAGGAAAACTTTTGGCTTCCAACGGCCGACGTTGGACCGAAAAGCGACCGACCCACGAAGCGGTGGCCAAGCCTGGACTGTCGACTATCACCGACAGCCAGGGATTAAAGAAACACGTCTGGTACGTCAGGGTGGAAGACCCGTCGTTGAGAAAGGGCAAGGGCAAGGCCAAGAAAGGCGGAGAGGAGAAAACGTACTACGTCCAAGTTCCTGAGCCCGATGTCCACTGCTGGAAGGAATTGGCAGACTTGACGGACCGCGAGAAGAGGAGGTTGTTGAAAGACGTCTTGAACGTGAACATCGTGTGGGTTCAAGGGAGTAACAAGAAATTGGCAAAGCAGGGGAAGTTCAGTGTCAAGGAGATGGTCGACAGGATTATGCTGAGGTTGTGGCACTATGTTGAGTTCGAGTACGAGGACATGCCCAAGGAGCAGTGGAATGTCAGGAGCTCGTTCTTCAGGTCCAAGCGAAAGTTGTTCGAAGAGTACGCGGACAAAGGTCTTGACGACAAACTCTGGAACGAGAGCAGGAAGTTCTTCACCGACAATGCCTACGTCAACAAGTGCCCTCAGTTTTTTTAGGGTGTCCACACGAAGTCAACGTCAAGAAGACCGTCGCCCTCGTGAGCGACGAACATTTTCCACTGGAGTGGAAGCGTGTGGTCTTTTCGGTGATCATCGAAGAACGGTTGCAAGCCAAAAAGAGTCCACGAGGCATTGACGAATGCATTAACATTTTGTGAAGGAAGACCAGCGTCGTGACGACGCTCGCCCCGTTTGTTGTCGACCCATTGAACGCCTTGGATCAAAAGGACGCGCTAAGGAAACTGGCACATCAATTCCGAGCCCACACTTGCGTGCTCCACTTGTGCGGACCTGTGGATCGGGCGCGCTGGGATGCGGGAGCTTTCGCTTCTCTGTGTGAGTTCCTCGGCATCGTCTGTCAAAACTACTGGACATTGGTGGTGTTCGTCCCATGCTTGTGGAACCTCTCCTTCATGACATTTGTGTCTGCGCTTCGTGCAACCCGATGCTACACGGGGAAGTGGGTACGCAAGACACAAGGAAAGAAGGCCCATCCGTTTGGTAACAGCATGTGGGAGGAGCGGGATGTTATGCACATTCTTTTCAAAGGCGATGGTCCTTTGTTGCTGACTCAACCGGTGTATGAGGGAGCTGTTGCCGAAGACGATGCCGCGGCTCTTCGGAGAAAACAAAAAGTGACACCTGTGGATGTCGTGGAGCACCCTTTCAAGTCTTTGAATTTCGCCGACATCGGAATCCTAAACAAACGGAGGACTGTGTACAACGATTTGGAGAGGAATCCTTTTCAATTATGGAGTCAATTGCAATTTTTCTGTGTTGCAGCGGAAGCGGTGCTTTTCCTGGGCAAGCTGCATGCTCAGGTGGTGTGGACTCTGCTCCAGAACGGAAGACACGTCTTGGCATTGGAGGGGGACTCGACGGAACTGGACCACACCGTGAAGTTTGTTGCCCTTAAAGTCTCGTCCGGGGGTTACGATTGCGATTTTCACAATGTCACCATCTAGCCCGAATATGACCCGAACAAAGACATGTTCTTCAAGTTGACCGCGAAGAAAAGGCGCCAAGTCTACTCCTTTCTCTTCGCGAACACACCGAGGTGGAGGTTGGACGCGGACTATCAGAGGCGAAAGGAAGTCTGCGTCGCTCTCCTGCAGGGCTATCACGGGGCGAGTCGGACCAGCGTAGTGGACTTCACCCGGAGACTCGAGTACGTCTTCTTCACTGAAAATGTGCAAGATCCGGCCCACTTCACCTTGGACAACTACAGACTGGTTTTTGGCGAGGAGGACGACTTCAATATCGAGACCGAGCAGGAGGAGAGCGTTGAGGACGACCTTTTCGATTTTGACGGCCAGTTGGCCATCTTCAACGCCCAACTAACCTTCGAATCGCCCTCTGTATGCAAGCCCGGGACACTGGTCGCTACACCCACCTCAGGGGGTCCCACACCCATGTCCGCCACAGGGCCCGTCAAGAGGGGTGGGTTATCCCGACTAACGAGTCCGCAGGGGGAGTCACTACGCATCACACCGCTCCCTGAACGTCTACGCCCCGGCCAAGCAATTCCACCCGGCCATCCGCATCTGCTGAACCCATCAATCCCATACCACATGGGCGACAAGCACACCTCCACCAAAGCCGAAGACTGGGGCCACCATATCATCTGGCACCCAAACCATTTCCGACGAGCGGTGGGACCTTGATATCTTCAATGATCGCGCTTACGGGGCTATTGTGCAGAGATTGGTTCAGGTTAATGGGAAAGACATGGACGACCCTGCCATGCGGGCATATGCGGACACGTTGTTCGACTTCCTACAGGAAAATAACTGGCTGGAATGCTCCGCCCCTTTCTACAGCCTCTCGTCGAGCCGGTCTAAAGAAAGCGTAGATTGGAAGTTGCCTCCGATCACGCCGAGGACTGAACCTGAGAAAGGCAAATCTCGCGGGGACGACGACGAAGGCGATGGTCATGGAGGCGGCCGGCGCGGTTCCGGCGAGGGAAGCGAACCGCGATCGTCACAACGGCCGTCTGCGGTGCAGGAGGGTGGAGGGGAGGGAAGGAAGGGCAGCGGAGAGAAGAGAAAGCACCACAGCGGGGAGAAGAGAAAGCATCACAGCGGAGACGGGGAGGGGTCCAAGATCGACGACAATGACAACGGCGCAGCATTAGCGGCAACATGCACCACCTCCATCGACACAGGAAATGACTTCATGCCCGGGAGGCTTCTGCGGCCTGGAGACTAGGACTCCGTGATTAGCTCCACCAGTGCGACACATGTTTCTGCCTCCTGCGCTGCCAAGCTCCAAACACAAGTCGAGTCTTGTCTCGGATTCATCTGGTTCATGGAAACGACGTCATTGTCCGGAACGCAGTGTCCCGTAGACAGCGATACGACGACATACCATGGCTTTGAGTGCGACAACCAGGAACCTTTCTCCGCTGCTCCGGAAGATGGAGCTCGGATTAATCCGAACCTGGAGGACTTATCCTTCAGGAAAGTACAATTTGCCGAAGATGAACACAGTAATCTGGAGCAGGAGGATGTGTCAACTACAACGGATGTCGCCAAGGAACTTCATGGTGGCCCTTCATCATTTGCAGTTCGATGTCAAAACAAGGCTTCGAAGTCCCTTGACAGTGAGCTGGCTCCCGGTTCCCCACTATCGCGTCCCGCAGAGCCGACGATGGAGGCTCTGGCACGGTATGCGCTTCGTTGGCTGTTGCGCGCGACTCTGCGGTCCGAGAGGACACGAACGCGCCGGCTGAACCCCTTGAGGCTCGGTCTGGTTCATAAGTAGGATACGAGAGCATGTCCACTGACGGTGGCGCTCTGGAGTCCGACGTACATCGGATGCATCCGAAGCAGACGGATGCAGAGGTCGGACTGGTGGGCGTCGAGCGCTGCGAAGGTATTGAAGCGGAGACGCCCAAGGCGACACAATCCGCCTGGGCTCGGATGAATCCCATCGCGGGAGTGGTGAGCAAGTCCATCGACGACGGGGCTTTGGTGTCCGACATAATCCGGATTGATCCGAAGCACACAGACGCTGGGGTCGAAACCGTCGCCGCCGAGGAATGTCGGGAGGTCGGAGAGGACAGGTCATCGCCAAAAGGTTCGGAGTGGACTACTGTAAATCCTGACCTGGTCGACGCTGGCATGTCCACCGATGAGATCGTCGTGATTCGAATGCATCCGACAAAGACAATCGGCGGGGCTACGCATGTCGGCGTCGAGGATTGCAGACATGTCACCACTTCCGTCACAAAGGACGGGTCCTCTGCTGCGCTTAGCGTTGAAGCTCGGATTTATCCGAACCAGAGCGACTTGATGCGGACCGTAGACAGTTCAGGATATCAGATGTCCGCGATCGGGATGGAACATCGAGTCATACCGCCTGGCGAGGACCCCTTATACTCCTCGAGCCCGGCACAATCTCTCCATGTCGTTGACCTCGACTCTCTAAGCCCGATTAAAAGCGGAAGAAAATTATCCGTCGCGAGTGGGGAGGTTTTGGGCCTTCGGGAAACTGTTGTGACGCCTTCGATCGTCGACGCCGACATCTCAGACCTGTCAAGTTTCCCGGCAAGTTTGGAGCACGTCATCGCGGCGTCGACGCGCACAGGGTCGCCAGTCGTGCTGGGACTGCCGGCGGTGGGCGTCGTTGAAGTGGAACCTAAGCCTGGTAAGCGCTGATTTCCTTCGCTTGCTTACAGAATGTCAACATTTTTGCTTCATTGATTTCCCGAAGTTCTTTTGACAGCCGCTGACTGAATTACTCGTGAGGTTCGTCAGGTGCACTATGCTTCGCAACTGAATGTTACCGGTGTTGTGTTTTCAGACGCTAAGTTGCGAAACACGGTGGTTATCTTGACCGGCGCTTATTGTAGTCAGGCATGGTGTGATATTTATTGTACAGGTCGACGCTCTACTGGAGAAATGCGCATGTCGGAGGAGCAGGTTGCGCCCGCGAGGTTGTCTGTCTTGGTTGCTGGTGGCACTATACGTGGCAATGTCGCCGATTCGTACCATGGGGACAAGAAGCCTCGAGGGCCACCCGTGCGAGTGGTTGTGCCAATAGTAGGTCCTCGCGCGAAACTCGTTGCTGAGGCAGCGGGTGTCACTGAGAAGGACTGTAAGGCGATCCTTCTCGAAGCGTGCAAGGATATAAAAAAGGACAGTGGTAGTTCAGAATCAGTTGTCTATAGAAGGTCCAGAAGTAGGGGTGACGTTATGCGTGGGATTTTTGAGAAGCAAAATCGCAGAGCGTCGGACCCAAGTCCCTAGGGGGCCGTTTTCTCATGGCCTCCGTCCTTTGTGTGTGCTGTGTGCTGCGGGTGTTTCTTGAACAGGGTTTCCAAGAGATGGACAGGCAGTCCTTGAAGACGTTATCCGCTCACAGTTGCCGGACACATTTATCATCGCGCATTTGCCGTCACACAATTTGAAGGTCTCCGTCAAGGACATCGTCACACTCGTCGATAGGCACGGGCAGCTGAACGATGAGGTTGTCAATTTCTACATGGCGATGATACTGGACGATTGCAGTCGGGCTGCCTCTGCCACCAAGTCGTACACCTTTAACTCTTTCTTCGCCTCTACATTGCTGCTGCGAGGTCCTGCAAGTGTTAGCAGATGGGCTAAAGATGTCGACCTCCTGTCTAAAGATCTCATCTTAGCGCCGGTGCACAAGGACGGCACACACTGGAGCCTTTTGGCGATTGACTTTTCTAGATGTGTTTTGGAAATATTCGACTCGTTTTCTTGTTCGTCATCCAAAGATGACTTCTATTGCAAACTGTTCGATAATGTAGTAAAGTACTTGAACATGGTAGCTAGTTCCGCCACCGACGCTCGTACTTTCGACCACTTCAAATGTGAAGGCCGCATGAAAGGCGTCCCTCGGCAAATGGACGAGGCTAGTTGTGGGGTGTTTATGTTGATGTTCGCTTCCTGTCTGGCGAGAGGTTTACGTCGACCTTTTGGTTTCTCTCACAGACACATCTCCTCTATCGGAAGTAGACTAGCTTCGGCGATTTGCAGTGTTGGTAGGTGAGCGTCGGGCTATAGCTTTTTATTCATGTTTTGTAGAAGGGGTTGCGTAGAAGAACATTTCGTTTTTCTCCCGATGGATTTTTTTTCTATTCCTTTTTTCGTGAGACAGTGGTAGGTGGTATCTGATTGTTCAGAGCACACCTGGAGTGAGACGCTGCCAGGATGTCCCCGGGTGCAATTATCACATCCCCGGTGTGTTTGTTGTCCACATTATTGTACTTGCTCATTGGCTTTCACTTTTCACGAACATCCCCGTTATTGGGGCTCCTCTTTCATGATTGTCTTTTTTGTTTTCGTCATTTCTGTCTTGTGTGGTGTGATGTTCTGTCCACATACTCGGATGCATCCGAACTCCAACTTTTACTGAACAAACGTCCGCCTAAAGTTGTCTGCACTCATCTGTACTTTTTCACTGTGCATATTATGAGGCATCACTGAGCGAAAAATACAACGCACGGGCCTCTCTCTGCATATATTGGCCCGCAGGCCCCTTCGCGCTCTGTGCTTTCTATTTCCGACATTAAATGCTGTCACTTCTTCGTCCAAACGAAACTCCCCGTCTGGTCGATCATTCATACAATCGGTTCCTATGCATTACCCAACGCAATGATTAATTGGATGTTCGGGGGTAGGTGAAACCCAAAAGGCGACGCCTATGGGTCTTGGAATGAAATGAAATATGACCTGTGTTCGCGATGCTGAAATAAAGAATTGAATAATTGAGCAGAATTGGATGTCGCAACGAAAGTATAAACCGAACGGCTAAGTCATTTTGTAGGTCAAAGTGACACAAATTGGATGAGTCGACAAGTTCTCAATTTCCAAAAATGGATTAGTGGTCAAGGCCCTGAGACTGGCGCAGGAATAACATCCGTGACGAGAGATACGGTGGATGATGGTGCGATGCTTCTCTCTCTCTCTCTCTCTCTCTCTCTCTCTCTCTCTCTCTCACACACACACACACACACAGCTCTGTCTACTTCGTCGCGACGCAACTGTATTCGATGGACACTTCGGATGCATCCGAAGTGTCCAATCAATACAGTTGCGTCGCTACAAGTGCACAGAGCTGTGAGAAAGAGAAAGACAGAGAGAGAGAAATGCGGGGGACGATTGTACAATGCTTCTTTTTCTGCGGTGAACACTCTCTCTCTCTCTCTCTCTCTCTCTCTCTCTCTCTCTCTCTCTCTCTCTCTCTCTCTCTCTCTCTCTCTCTCTCTCTCTCT